CCACTGAGCCAAACCGGTTTCGGCTTAACTTTAATTCATTTAATTTATAGACATTGTAGGAGAATGACCACAAAAACTTGTCAAAAATGTAATGTTCATGTAGTTTCTATCAAGTTCAGTGATGAAAGAAATTTAGACTTTTCCTGCACTTTCACTCATCTTCTGCTGTAGGTCGAATTCTTCAAATGTGGGAGCAGTCCTGGACCCAGAGATGGCAAAGCTCCCATAGGGATGGGGTGAAGGGCCTGGTTAGGGCAGTCCTGGGACATTGCACTCTGTGTTTCTTTCTTTTTTTTAAAAAAAATATATTTTATTGATTTTTTCCAGAGAGGAAGGGAGAGGGATAGAGAGTTAGAAACATCGATGAGAGAGAAACATCAATCAGCTGCCTCCTACACACTCCCTACTGGGGATGTGCCCGCAACCAAGGTACATGCCCTTGACCTGAATCGAACCTGGGACCCTTGATTCCCCAGGCTGACTCCACTGAGCCAAACTGGTTAGGGCACACTCTGTGTTTGTTTAACAGGCACTGGCTCACTTCATCCTCAGGAGCTGGATTATTATGTTAATTGTTTTATTTCCAGAGCCCAGAGGTTAAACATGGTAAGAAAACCAACCAAATAAGATGGACAAAGCTGGCTTCAAAGTCACATCTGTCTGAACAAAGTAAGACTCTGAATCAGGACACCAGATTTCCTGACATGGCCAGGGTTCCTCCAGGAAGGCTTTCTCCAGGTTCATCTACCTCAGGAGTGTCCTGCAGAGCCCTCTGGAGAACCAGCCTCAGGTTGTGTCTCCGCTTCCACCATCGCTGCCTGAACGAGCCAACGAAGAAGTAAATGATGGGGTTGGCACAACTGTTGGCACAGGACAGGAGAACTGCCGCCAAGAAATGAGGAACGAAGGCATCCAAATCTTTTTGAAACCAGAATAAGAGGCACCAGATGGTGCTGTAGGGCAGGCCACAGAGGAAGAAGACCAGCACTGTGAGCACCACGGTGGCATAGAGCCTTGTCAGGGGAACCTGGTTGGAGCCACACAGCAGTCTGGTCATCAGGGCCAGGCTGGACCCAGTGAGAAGCACAAATAACAAAGTCAGCCACGCCGCAGCGATGAAATCCAACACTGGGCACCAAACATGATGCTTGTTCCTCACCAGGAAGCCACAGTAGTTCCCTTCCAGGATGCTCAGCAGCAGGGACAGGGCCCACAGCAGGGCACACATGCCCGCTGACCGGTGTCTGGGGCGGCGGCAGCGGTACCAGATGGGCCACAGGACAGACAGGCAGCGCTCCGTGCTGATGTCGCTGAGAAGGCTCAGGCCTGAGATGTAGGCAAACACAGAGACAGTCATGAAAAAGTGCGGGATGGATATGGAGATGAAAGAGAAGTTTCTGATGAGTGTCTCTAGGGCATCTATAATATAACAGCAGAGTAAGAGGAAGTCGGCTCAGCCCCACCAGGGCCACGATTGCTGTCAATAATTGCAAGACTAGGAACTCCATTTTGAAAGTTTGTTCTCTTCCACTTATTGATGTGAATTCGCTGCTCCAGGCTGTGACAGATGGATTCATGGTCGAGAACCCTCCACTGGTGCCACTGGAACAGAAACAAGACTTGAGCACCTGGTGCATGATCAGTGAGTTTCATGGGCACCCTGCTACCTGGGAATTACTGTCTGTGTTACAGAGATTATGATACCAAAGGCATCACCACCTTGGAGTCCTGGAACCTGGATTCAAATCCAGTTCTCTCTGACTCTAGAGTCAGGCTCTCTCTACTCAACATGGACCTTCTGACATGGGAATAGCCTGTAGTCCAAACACCCCCACTCATAGTCGGAGACCATGTCATGTCTTCCGGAGGCAGGAGGAGCATAGTCTCCACAGGTAACGTGGGATGACAGCAGGACTCGGAGCTCACCATTGCTTCTGCCCTGCAACTGAGGTTTCCTTTCAAGAGCTCAAGTAGAAAGTCCCAGCCATGACCTCTTGGTTTTCTCAGTGACTGAGAATGTCCATCCTCCAGAAAGAAGATCGTGATTTTGGTTTCTTTATGATAAGATAAATGGAATACACTCTCTTGCTTTGAGGGGTATGCGTATGACCTGTCCTCATGTGTTGGAAATGGCTGAGTGTGTCATCTCTATGAGGACAGGAGGTACTTTTCTCCTGAACAGTGGTGTGTCTAGTGGGACACAGTTTAATTCACTCTTATGATGGATTTCTTCCTAGAGCAGACAATATAATAAATATAAAATACTTATAGTTAATAGTGTACTCCCACTTTAAAAAACACACACCAAACAAACTACATTTTATTATCAAGGCATTTATGATGATAGCAAGAGATTATTCTAAAAAGTGAAACCCAATAGGTGCACAGAGTCAAACAAACAAACTGAGGAGATACAATGAGAAGTTGATCTTATTGATCTCAGAGAGAGAGAGAGATAGAGAGACCAGGAAAACCAACTACTGGGAGACGATAAAAAGAGATGGGTTTCTTCATTTGACATCAAATCGCATTTCCAGCTTCTCTACCCTCCTCTGCATCCTGGGGACAGGTCCCTTTCCCTCACCAATGGACCCCTTTCCCTCAGTCTCCTGATTGCTCTCAGGAAGGAGACATGGCAGTTGGTTGGAGGGCAGTAGGAGGGCAGGTTTCAACTCCCTGGCTCTCTGATTTCAGGCTGTGAGTTGGCCATGGTTGTGTTACTCTACCTAAGGACATAGCCCCTGTCTGGTTGCCTTTCTTATGGTCAAAATGACAACCTCTGCTACAGCCATAGCCCGAGCTGTGTTCTGGTAACTTATCTTTCCCTTTAACCTTCAGCAGTAGGTCCCTTTTATGACTTATCTTTAGTGGCCTCTCCATCTTCATCAATTTCCCTTACTCCTGCTCACCCCTTTGTACACAGACCCTTTATTATACTCTCTTCAATTACTCATTAGTTTGTTCCGTGTGTTTTATGCTGGAACAAAATAGATATAAACATAACAAAAAAAATCCATGGAACAGTAAGATAATGTGAGAAATATGAGGTTATTAACAACAATTCATGTTTGAAAACAATGTCTGTGAAGCAGAAAGGACCTGGGTCCCTCACAGCCTAAGCTACCAGCACCCATAGCTTCCCTGAGGGAGCTTCAGGTCTCTAGACTCTCCTTCATGGTGCCCATGGCTCCTTGCATGCTCCACCCCAAGAAGCAGTTGTGACCATGTGGACTAAGAGGGAGAAAGCAAAACTGCCTTTGAGAAAAGATAGTTCTGAGTCATCTCTTACCTGAGCACCATCTTCTAGTTGAAGGTGGTGAGTAGAAGAAGAGGAGCTTTCCAGGGAGTGCTGAGCACCAGAGAATGCTCTCCTACCCCTGGATAGGAGGTGTCTGCAGGAGCAGGAGTGGAACCTGGTGCCCAAGAGAGGCTAATCAAGATGCTGGCAGCCCCTGTGACTTCCTGCCCAAGGGGCACTTGCAAATGAGATCCTGTAGATGTGAGAGAAGGGCCTCATGAGATGCTTCTCATTTGCCCTGAGTGCAATGACTTATCTGTTCCTCGTTCCATCTTACCCCATGTGGTCCCCATCCAGTGATGAATGTTTGAACTTGAGCCTGTCACTGCCCACTATGGGTGTGTGCAGGAAGCCCACCCAATAGGCAATATGAGCTTGCATAGCAAAATAATAGTTTGCTTGGCATTCAGGGTTTTGCATGGCCTGGATCATCTGATCTATTTCCATTTACTCCCAGGAGTAATGAATGCACCTGAGTTTATTTCAGAGGACACAGGCGTATAGAAAATACAAATGTAAAGACTCTCCTAATCTCAATCACCAATAGCAACCGATGTTTACAGTACCCATTTTAACTCTTTTACAACTTATTTTATAGCTTTGTGTAATGAAACCTCCTCTCTAGTTGTGACTTATCAATATTAACACCTGTGTAAATTGTGTTCCCTTTCAGCAGATAAAGAATTAGCACACCACATGCACTACTTGTGCCTCTCTCTCTTCCCAGGACATTTGTTAGCTAGATTTCTTTCACATGATGTGGTGACAACCAGTGTTTTCAGCTTTAGTTCCTATAACTTCCTTTCATGTGCCCATGCTGCAGCCAAATTGAGTTACATAGCATTTCCTCAAAAAGTTAACTATGAAACACTGGAAACAGTGAGAGAAACCTATTCACTCATTTCTGTGTTTACCCGACTCTACTAATACTGTGTGCTATACTGTGCCAGGCAGTGATCCAGGCAGAGAAGATGCTGTGGAGAAATGCTACCAGAGGGCCTTTCACAGGCCCAATTTCTTGGACTGTGCTTATCTAAGGATATCATTTTCCCTAAACCCAGACAACCCAATGAGATTAGAGGTAGGTCAACTCATTTATTCCAGCTTTCACCCTGTAGAATTCCCCCAACCACAGCACTAAGCACGAATATAAAGGATCTATAGTCTGAGAGAAACATAGGGAATCTTCATTTTCTATCCAATCAGGTAGAACAATTTCTGAATGACTATTTATGGTTTTGCACAGGGATTCTTTTTTTTTAACTTATTAAATATTACCTCAGAAGTCAATAATATATTAGAGGCTTCAAATGTATTAACCACTGATGTTTATGAAATATTTAGTCATATTTGACACCTGGCTGAGTCTTTTTCATCTGTTTTCTAATTTATTCCCCACTATGATTCTATGAGCAGATGATTTCACCACATTTTACAATGAATTAATGGAGGCTTGGATAGGAGAGCTGCAGGACCAGGACTTCAGACCTGGATTTGTCTGATTCATAGAGGAATTCTTTCTGTTGCAATGAAAATTGTAAAGAAAAATCATTCAGTAAATAAATTCAGAAGATTACATGAGAAATTTATTGGTAATGTCAAGGACGATGGAGAGGTATAACGTTCAGACTAATGCTTTCTCTGAGAAAAACTAGAACAGCCACGTTTAAAACAACCTATTTGAAGAGATTGGGGAATCACTGACACATTCTGAGACTGAGGCTGAGAGAAGACTAGATACTTTCCAAGCCTGGCAGGGCAGCAGTGAGTCTCAAAGTTACTCCAGACTGATCAGGACAGAGGCTCTCATCCCTGCCCCAGACTGCTTCCCGACATGGCCAGGGTTTCTCCAGGAAGGCTTTCTCCAGGTTCATCCACCTCAGGAGTGTCCTGCAGAGCCTTCTGGAGAACCAGTCTCAGGGTGTGTCTCCGCTTCCACCATTGCTGCCTGAAGGAGCCAACGAAGAAGTAAATGATCGGGTTGGCACAGCTGTTGACACAGGACAGGAGTACTACAAAGTGCTCAAGATGAGGGAAGGCATCAAACCAGAATAAGAGGAACCAGTCGATTCCGAAGGGTAGGCCACAGAGGAGGAAGACCAGCACCGTGAGCACGAGGGTCACATAGAGCCTGGTGGGCGGCACCCGGTGGGAGCCACACAACAGTCTGGTCATTATGGCCAGGCTGAACCCAGAGAGAAGCACAAATAACAAAATCAGCCAGGACACACTGATGAAATCCCACACTGGGCACCAAACATGTTCCACATTCCAACTAAGGAAGCCACAGGAGTTCCCTTCCAGCATGCTCAGCAGCAGGGACAGGGCCCAGAGCAGGGCACACATGACAGTGGACATGTGTCTGGGCCGGTGGCAGCGGTGCCAGATGGGCCACAGGACAGACAGGCAGCGCTCCGTGCTGATGGCGCTGAGAAAGCTCAGGCCTGAGATGTAGGCAAAGATTGACAAGGGCCAGAGAAATTTGTTAATTACTCTAAAGACAAAATCAAAGTTGAAAACTAAAGTTAGACTATGTATAAATCGGTAGCAGAGGAAGAGAAAGTCAGCCCCCGCCAGGTTGAGGATGTAGACAGAGCAGGCGTTCCTGCTCATGCGGAAGCCCAGGAGCCAGAGCACCACTGTGTTCCCAGGCAGCCCCACCAGGGCCACGAAGGCTGTCAGTAATTCCAGGATCTTGAACTGTGTATCAGATTCATGGAAGGCCTGATCACTTCCATTTGTTGATGTGAGGTTGGAGTCCCACGCTGTGGCTGTCATATCCGTGCTCAGGAACCCTGCAGTTGTGGGCCTGGAAACATAATAAGACTTGAACACAGGACTGAATTTAATGTCTCTGCATTTTAGAGAAGAAAGAAGTCCATTTGCTAAGGAGAGGGAGAGGGGCAAAGGGTTTGAATAGAGGTAGTTAAAACAGAAATATGGAAATTGGGGTTATTAAGTGATTTTCTGATGATATGTGTAATATAAAAGTTATTTGTTGTTGCTCCATGTGATTTTGATTAAAGATTTCTTTGCAGATCAAAGCATTTGTGTAAGAGAATTCTCGTGGTGGTGGTGGAGTTAGGAAGTGCTTACTTCTATTTTAGAAAGGGCATTGGATGAAAAGAGAGAAGCTCTTGCAGAAATTAGGTGAGAAACATAAATCTGCTTACACATAGGTGAAGAGTAACAGCTGATGAGTGCTTACATGGTATTACCTATTTTCATCTTCCAAATAGCCCTATGAGGCCAGTACTATGCCTATACCCATCGGGCATGTAGGAAAAGAGAAGCAGAAGGAGGTCCAGTTCTCATGTGCACAAGTGGAAGAGCCTGGATCTGAACCCTCAGGTCTGTGTCAGAGTGTTTGCACTTTCCCTGTCTTGCAGCCCCACTACCAGGGTGGTGTGTCCGGTACACAAGGGGAATGGTGGGGCAAGAAGCAAGGAACTCTCAGAGACAAATCTAAAATGGAAACTCACTTATGTGTTTTATTAAGCTAGAATAGGCAAATTTTGTAAATAACAAGGGAGTGAAGATTATCCAGTGTGGATGAAGGGGGTGGAATCCAGCTGAGAAAAGACCAGAGCTTCCAGGAGCTCCTTCTTGCCTCTGGTGAGGCTCCTCAATCATTCCAGCCTCTCCAGGTGCGCCCAGCACAGGCGTGTCAGAGTGGAGAGAGGCAGGATCCACTGGCCACAAAGGTAGTTTCACGACTGAATGATCTATCAGTCTTAGTTCCTACAGTTCTGGTTGAACTAATGAGATGATGGAGGGAAACTACAACCTCTGATATCTCCCTCAGGGCATCATGAACCTTTTATTCATGGAAAGAATCACAAGTCTTATCTGTAAGTGTATGTGTTTTCTTTAGTCTCCCTTTTAAAACTCAAAACTCAATAATGACGATTAGATTTTTCTGTTTTTTTCTCTCTTGGTTATGAAAACAATTCAGGTTTGAAAGCAATGCCTGTGAAGCAGAAAGGACCTGGTTGGTCCCATGAATCTCCCACAATCTAAGTTACCAGCACCCAAAGCTTCCCTGAGGAAGCTTCATGTCTGTAGACTCTCCTTCAGGGGTTCCCATGGCTCCTTGCATGCTCCACCCCAAAATGCAATCATGAGCATGTGGGGTAAGAGGGGGAAAACAAAACTGCCTTTGAGAGAAGGTAGTTATTAGCTGACTCTTACCTGAGTGCCATCTTGTAGTTGAAAGTGGTGAGTAGAAAAAGAGGACCTTTCCAGTGAGTGCTGAACAGCAAAGAATGCTCTCCTACCCCTGGATAGGAGGTGTCTGAAGGAGCAGGAGTGGAACCTGATGACCAAGAGAGGCTTATCAAGATGCTGGGCAGGCCCTGTGACTTCCTGCACAAGGGGCACTGGCAAATGAGAATCTGGAGATGTGAGACAAGGACCTCACGAGACGCTTCTCACTTTTCCTGAGTCCAATGTCTTATCTCTTCCTCTGTCCATTTTCCTCCCTGTGAGGAATGTTTAAATTGGAATCTGTGACTGCCCATAGTGATCCTGTGCAGGAAGCTCACCCACTAAGCAAACTCTTTCATAGCTAAAGAAGAGTTTGTTTGACATTTAGGGTCTCGCCTGGCCTGGCTCATCTGATCTGTTTCCAATTACTTCCAGAAGTAATATATGCATAATACTTTGTTTCAGAAGACACCATAGTGTGCAAAATGAAATGTGAAGTCCTTCCTAATCTCATTCCTCAATGTTTACAGTTTCCATTATAACTATTTTACAAGTTATTTTATAGCTTTTCATTATAAAACTACATTTCTATCTTTGATTTATCAACATCAACAACTGTGTATACTGCGTTCCTTTCTAAAATATAAGGAAATAGTGGGAAAAAATGGCATGGGAGTAAGTGGAAGCTACACTGACACACTCTCAGGACCAAACTGGAATTACAACTAAAATAAAAAAACAACATTACCCTGAATAATGAAGTGAAAACTAGATGGAGAGATCCCTGAAAACCAAGGATGGAAAATGGAGACTGCATAGAGACTGGTAAAAAGGGCAGAGTCAGGAAAGGCAGGTCAGGTTCCCACAGATAGAAGCTCAATTTCTGGGAAGATATCTCAGCTGTGGGGTGTTGCCACTGAGAACTCCTCCCCAAGGTGGGCCCCCCAGGAGAGGACCAGAACTGAGAAAGATGTTCACGTAACATCTGGCTGTGTAAAACGGCAGGGTTGTTGTCTGCCAGAAAGAGATGACTGGAAATGCAGTCATCCGCTTAAAGGGACAATGCACAAAATTTTGTTTGTAGCCATTCACCTTGTGCTCTGGCAGAGGGAGGGCAGAGTGTACTGGAGCTGTGTGAGCAGAATCCAGGGTTAGGGGTTTTGAGTTTAGAGCTTGGAAGGCAGACACCTTCTTTCCTGTGTTGAGTCATTCCCTCACACTGCAGAGGTCATCTCTCTCAGGCAGACCTTTGCTATCCAGGTAGTTATTGCCTGGCTGTAAAGACAGTTGACCCACCCTACTGGATAACCCCTCACCTCATGGTGTGGTGTTTCTGAGGCCCATTAAGAGACTGAGAATAGCAATTAGCCTCCAGGTAGAAGCACTGAGGGAAAACGACTCACCACTCTGTGGAAATTGCCTGAGGGCTACTCAAGACTTAATCCAATCAGTGTGCAAGCACAGGCAGGTCCCTGGAGGCTTTGAATCTTTGCCTAATCTAATTAGTCAGAAACACCATTTGGTGCTGTCCTGCACTAGTGATTGGGGGGCATAGCAGATTTACCTAGTGCATAGTCACAAATCCAAATAGACAGCCAAAATGGAGAGACAAAAAAGCAGCTCCCAAATGAAAGAACAAGAGAATTCTTCAGAAGAAGAGATAAATGAAAAGGAGATAAGAAATTTATCTGATAAAAAATATGTAGTAACTATGAAAAAAGAATAGTCAGAAATAAAGAATGACATACACAAATATGGAACACATTGGAAGGAATACACAGCAGATTAGGGGCAGCTGAGGATTCAAACATATAAGGAAGTCATACAACATAGCAAAAGGAAGACAAACAATTAAATGAAAAAATGGGCAAAGGACCAAAATAGAAACATTTCCAAAGTGGACATACAGGTGGCCAAGAGACGTATGAAAAAATGCTCAAAGTCACTCTTCATCGGAGAGATGCAAATTAAAATGACAGTGAGGTATTGCCTAATATCTTTCAGAATGGCCACCATCAATAAAGCAAAAAATGACAAGTGCTGGCAAGGATGTGGAGAGATCTAGGTCTTTTATGCTTCACAGACATTGTTTTCAACCCTGAATTGTTGTTAATAAGCTCAGGTTTCACATATTACCTTGCTGTTCTATGCGCATGTTTGTACACCTCTGGTGGGACTGCAGACTGGTGCAGCCATTATGGAAAACAGTATGGAGTTTTTTCAAAAAATTAAATATGGAATTTTCATTTGACCCAGCGATCCACTTTTAGGAATATATCTTAAGAAACCCAAAACACCAATCAGAAAGAATGCATGCACCCCTATGTTCATAGAAGCACAATTTATAATAGCTAAGATGTGGAAATAGAGTGTCCATCAGTAGATGAGTGGATGAAAAAGCTGTGGTACATTTATACCATGGTATACTATGCAGCAGTAAAATAGAAGAATCTCTTACCCTTTGAGAAAGCATGGAAGAACCTGTAGAGTATCATGCTACATGAAATAAGTCAGTCAGAGAAAGACATGTATCACATGATTGCACTCAAAATGTGGAATCTAAGTAAAAAAATAAACTGATGATGAGTGTGTCCAGAGACATGGAAGCATGGAACAGAGTGTAGAATCTCTGAGGGAAGGCAGGGGAAGGTGTGGGTGTATGGGAGGTAATCAACCAAAGACCTTGTATGCCTAACCCATGGACACAGACAATAAGGTGGTGAAGGCCTTGGGGGGGGGGTGGCTGAAGGAGGGGGGGTGACTGGACGGGGTCAATGGAGGAAAAGAGGGAACATTTGTAATACTTTCAACAATAAAACTAAAAAAAATGTATTCATACGGATGCATCAATTTCAATAAATGTGCCACATTAAAGGAAGATGTTAGTAATAAGAGAAACTGTGTGGGGAATTAGAAATGGGGGGGTTATAGAAATCGTCTGTACTTTCTGTACTATTTTTCTTAAAATGTGCTTTAGATTTTAAAGTCTATTAAAATGAATAAGCAAACCAGCAACTGAATAAATATTTAAATACACATAATTAACCAAAGCCGTATTTGACATATATCAAATCTCCTATAAATAAATAATGAAAAGGGCAACACTTAATAAAAATTGGCAAAACTGAAAAAGACACTTCAAGAAATACAAGTAACCTGGAAACTAAAGAGAAAATAAACAAATGGGACTACATCAAAATAAAAAGCTTCTGCACAGCAAAAGAAACCATCAACAAAACAACAAGAAAGCCCACTGCATGGGAGAACATATTCGCCAATGTTATCACTGATAAGGGTTTAATCTCCAACATTAATAGGGAACTCATACAACTCAACAAAAGGAAGATAAGCAATCCAATCAAAAAATGGGCAAACGACCTAAATAGACATTTTTCAAAAGAGGACATTCAGAAAGCCAAGAGACATATGAAAACATGCTCAAAGTCACTAATCATCTGAGAGATGCAAATCAAAACAACAATAAATTACCATCTCACACCTGTCAGAATGGCTATCATCAACAAATCAACAAACAACAAGTGCTGGAGAGGATGCGGAGGAAAGGGAACACT